GAAGTCCTGATCGGTTAGATCAGCAACTTCGTTATATCGAAGTGTGACTGTATATGTTAATAATTTTATATGCACAAATTTGATGAAATTAAAAATTTATAATAAATTATAATAAAATTATAAAATATTTTTACAAATCTCATCAGTCTTATTTTATTTGTATTAAGAATTAGCTAAATAAAAATAATTCTAAAAGATTATATAAACTAAATAAAAATCATTATTTATGATAACAGATTTTATTTTACATATATATTCTATTTTTGATTGGATAAGTATTTATATACAATTAATAAAATATAATATTATTATTAAATTTTTAATTAATATTTAATAATTAATTAATAATTAGTTAGAATATAAGCAGAGAACAATTAATTATTATATAACTTAATAAATTTATTAGTTTATTTGTCTATTTATTATTTGAATTGATGTGATTTTATTTACTATATTTGTTTATTATACATGTGATTATATATATTTTTGCTGATCAATCAAATCAATTGTATTGACTTATGATCATATATTTATTACTCTAGACTTTTCAACAGTTTTTGTTACTTAGTTATTATTAATATTCAGATAATTCTTAAACATCAAAATATTATTTAAGTATAATCTATTAAATATGAAGAATTTTTATTATAGATTGATATATTTATTTAATTTGAGTATATATTAAAAAATATTAATTTATTTTAATTAAATATAGCAACTTTAGCTAATTGCTTTATTTATATAATTAAATTAACATAGTAATATATTGGTTACCTAACTTAAATTCAATTAAAATTTTAGTAATATATATATTAATAATTGTTATTTTAATTGTAATAAATTACTGTAAAGTTTTTGTTACAATAAACATGAAAATTATGAATTAAATTCTCAATTACATTGATTTGAAGTTTATCTAACAACTTATGATTGAAAATATGATTATTTTTGAATTATAATAGGGTACTATTAAAAATAATCCTTAATATTTAGCTGAACTTGTAATTCAATTATTTGAAATAATTTCCTTTTCAATGTAATTGTAAACAGAATTTTGATACTTAAATAATTGATTTATGATTAGAGAACTAGATTAGCAGTATAAAACTTGAAAATATAACAAATTAGATCATATTATTTGACTAATATTAAATCTGAGCCTTTTGTATTTTAAATTCGTAAATATTGAATAAGAATAAATTATATTATTTTCCGATTTCTAATTATAGAAATCATATAGAATTCTTTTCTTTAAATGCATATTCTTTAAATGCACATTTTTTAAAATTTTCACTATGGTTCCAAGGGGGGATACATTTAGAGAGGGTTGACTGTATAATCTTTAGAAATCGATGCAAAATCATGTGATCGTATAGTCCGATCCTAGTTATTTGACGCGTTGAGGCGTTTTCCTCCTTTCCAGATTTAACTTGTTATTCTATTCATAATTGCAGTTTTCCTTATTCTGACCATATATTCTTAGTCTAACTTATTTTTTATTTTTAATTTTTTGACGGGTTTTCCTGTCTTAATTATAATTACTGGTGAATTATAGATCAGTTTCTTAATAAACTTGGGTCAAATAAAACGGTTTAAAAATCATTTTAATGCCAGAAATCAAATATTAATTTGAATATGTCATGAAACTCCATTAGCATACGTAAAGCATTTGAATATCTGTCGTATTTAAAGCGTATATGGACGTTACAACTCACTTTATTGACAAACGTGGAGCCTCCAAGGGTTTACTCTTGTTTATTAAGGTAGAGGGTATTTAAATATTTAAAACTAGGACATCAAACTTTTTTTGATATTTAAAAAAAGGGGTAATATTACCTATTATTAAACTTAATAATTAAACAAAATAACATATTTACCGAACAAACTACAATACATACATGTTCTTTATGAGTGACGAGATCGATGATCGATGAGATTTCATCATCATATTATAATGAACAAGGAACAAATAAATATAATGGTTCGTTTTCAAATTTCACTGATCACTTTAGAATAATGAAGCTCGAATTAACGTGATTCTGAATTAAAAATGAAATAAAAGTAATGTTGTGATATTAAATTCTTAAACCTCACATTGCATCCTTGGGCAATCGTAAAGATCTAGAATTTTGACATGTTAACTAAAGACGACCACTGAGCTAAACCGTATTAACGACATGACATTTTTAAGAAAAATCTCTAAATTCTTCCGCAATAAGAATTAATTAACCTGCGTCAATTGTTTGCCTCTGCTAATAAAAATGACATTCTATATAGGATCTCCAAAATCCTAATTATAAAGTCCAATTTTTAATTATTTTAAAATGATGAGCGAATAGGAGAAAGAGGCGCAGCAACGTCGGGTGATATTTGCGAAGATTCAAAGAGATTTGATAACCTTAATTCGAAATTCGGAAATTCAAAAGATGCTAACCACGATCATGGGGTTAATCCTTTTTTATATGGATATAATAAATATAAATGATACATACAATGGGTTCATTATAAACAAATGGAATCGAAATTCCGAATTTCAAATTTTTTTTTTTTTTTATAGATAACAAGAGAACAAACCACTGCGGATCTAAACAATGAAAGACAGATAATGTAAAAAGAAAATCGTTCCCGAATGTAATAATAATCCGAATATATTTAGTTAATTTCGGCAAATACCTAGATTTTAGTCCAACATCAAAATAAATTTATCGGAAGATGGCAAGCCTTTACAACATACATGCGTCATATAACCGCTTATTCCCGTACATTTTATATCTCTACTGTGGGAAACAATACAGCCACAAAAGACGATCTCGTTTTTGGGTGTAAACTTTGCATTCCGCAATTCCACATGTTTTTTTCGGCTAAAGCGTAGGCAAACCTGTTATTAGCAAGAGGATAAGGGTCTATTTCAAACAAGATGATGAACCCGGGGAACAGGTTATTGGATAACAAAAAGACAAGCCTTTTACAAGTCCGAGTATTTATACTGTCATTAAAAGACATTTGAATATTGGCATTAATTGACAAGCGTGTGGCATTTTTTCATTTTATTTAAATTTCACGTTTTATTTTTTCGCACGTTTTGGATTTATCACGTAATTTTCTCACGGGTTGATTTTGTTAATCAAAAAAGTAAAAGATTTTTTTAGAAAAGTATTTTTTTTTTCCAATACACACCTTACTTTTTTTTACCATCTCTTTCCCAAAATTCGTTAGACGAACTCGAGCAAAATCCCCCAAAGAAAATCTGATCATATATTAAAAATATAAAAAAGGTAATTTGTTGCCTATCAGTCAAATCGATATTCTTTATCCATTACCATACTATGTTATAAGTTTCATAAAAAAAAAAAACGTACATAATGTAACATACAAACGTCAATGTTCCGTTCCATTCCTTTGTATACTTTATTACTTTATTATTATGATGATATTGTCATTTTTTTGATCTTATCAATTTTTGAGGATCCAGATTGTGTATGTAAACATAGAATAGATAAAGGTTGATTAAGTATAAAGTTGAACACTAATACAGTTTTGGGTACTTTATAAGTGTGGGGATGATGATCTTACATTTATCTCTAAAAAAAAAAAAAACTGTATAAAAAAAAAATTTTTTTTTTTTCCTTCTAACACAATATAGGTAAAAAATCCCACACGAATTTTTAATAATTTTTTTTTTTTATAAAAATTGTGCACATAACAAAACGTATTGGTACACGAAACACTAAACCATAATTAGATAATGAGAAAAAATAAATAAATATTTTGATATTGTACTTTATGATAAAGTTCAGATTTTTTTTTTTTCCCACGAAAAAAAAAATTATGCAAACTTTTCCTCTCATAAAGAACTAAAAATTTTTTTTTTTTTTTTTTTTCAAAGATTCAACTTCAGCCCTACATTTTGTAGATCCTTTCTTGGAGGTTTTCCTATAACTGTCGCTTTTCATTGTTCACCAAAGTCCGCCAAACTTGGATTAAACATGTGATTTTAGATTATTATTATCGTCATTAGCTTTTTTCGCCTTGTCTGTTTGACAATTTCAATGAAGATTAATTTGGTAAATGTAAAAGGGCTTTTTCAAATTTCAATTGTGTCGAGAAGAATTCAAAAAAAAGAACAAGAAACAAATTATTGTATTAAAAAAAAGAAAAATGCTCTTTCGTAACACATGATTTTTTTTTATCGGAATAATTAGTACTGACGTTTTCTATCTATTGTGCTTGTACAACGAACAGAGATAAACCATTCTTGGACATCGTGGTTTCGTGTGATGACCAGAAGAAGAACGTGATATAGTGTGACGATTTATTTATGTAGAGGATTACATAATTAATAAATTTTGATGTACAATGTAACATTGTAATATAAGATTATTTGATAAAACATTATATACGTATATAACATTTATTTTTGACATTTGACATTTTTGACATTTTGCACAACTTTTTTTTTTTTTTTTGATTATTGGATCAAAACTTAAGACGCGTTTTATTATTATTATTATTATTATTTAACTTTAACTCTTTTTTAATTTTTTTTCCCTCTTTTTTTGAGTTTTTTATTTTTATTTTTTTTTCTTTATAAACAAATTTTAACTAGATTTAAATTTTTTTTTTTTTTTTTAAAAAAAACGACCACCAAAAAAAATCAAAAAATCAAAAACAATCTTAGTTCTTCTGTACAAAAATTTGGTGATTCGACATAATTTTTAAACAAATTCATACAAAACACGCGTAAAAGCGCTAATAATTACACGTATAAAATATATATGTATATATATATATATTAAGACTATATACAAAAAAAAAGAAAATTCCATAAATGAAAATAATCTCATAAAAATATCTTATTGGGAAATAGGCGTACTTGGGGTTGACGTAGATGGTAACGGTTCGCATAATGTGTATTGAAATTTACCTGGATCAAAAAAAAAAAAAAATAATAATAATATCAGCGCAAATTCGTTATAAGATCAAAAAAAAAATAACGACGCTTAAAAATGTATTTTAATATACTTACAAATTCCAACGATTGTCCAACACAAGTAATCATCAACTTCTTCAACGATTGTTGGGGAAGCCAAGGGATCATTCTTGGCGGCACACGAAACGTTTTGCATACTAACCATTCTGAATGGTTCCTTAGTAAATTCTACATTTTGCATATGTACGACACGAGAAGATTGATACCCAAGGTAAGGCGATGCACCGCTAACTGTGCATTGATCTTGTGAATGGGGACTATCCATTGTTATCGGTCCTGCCGCACTAAGATAGTGGGATTCACACCTATTCGATCGAACGCATTGTAAAGCGATCTTTTGCATTTGACTAACGGGTCCGCACGCTCCTTGAGTTATACGACCCTTTTCAACTTTACGTATAATTAATCGATCAGAGGTGTACCCCGTAGTGGGGTCGCTTAGAATGACTTCCGAACCGTATGTGACCGGGATAGAATTCGAACAATTGTTATTGGAGGATTGTGATGACGGCGACGTTGATCCTTTTTGTGGTACATTCGTGGTCGGGAAGGAACTCAACCCGTTGTGATTATTGTTATTATTGTTGTCATTACTGTTCATCACAGTGATGACAAATGAGGACCATGAAGAATTCTTGGCGCATAATTGTCCTCCTTCAATCCCCATATATTTCGTTCGCACCGTTTGTGAATTTATACGATTAAAGAGGGAAACGTGACACCCTGATAGGATACAAGACGATACGTTCCTCGCTTTTGCTGTTTTCTTTGATGGTTTGGAAATGATGGTAACAGGCGCCGATTTGAACACGGCGTATGGAATGGTTGAATTTTTTGTAAAAATTTTTAACTTAAGTTCAAAATATTTGGCCTTTGCGGTTCCACTAACGTGTAAATATTTGAATGTGCCCTTAAGATTTTCATCGAGCAACGTCTTTTGTTCTAAGGAACGATCACCGTTCTCGCAAACAACCGACATGGTCACTTCGGGTTTCCCATGAAAGTTTCTACAATCATTATGTGGCCTCTCAATCATAACGACCGGTGGTGGACATAAGAACCTCTTCTCGCTCCCGTATGACTTTTGTGCAACCGTCGCGTGTTGGCAGGTTACGGTGGTCATTTGATATGGACTTGATGATGATCCGTCGATTTGATGATACTGAAGCCTTGGCTGTATTGGTACAACTTCATTCAAATAATCGTCCATTGGACGTCGGATTTTGGAAAGTGACTCTTCCATATAAGGGCTACTCAAGATGGAGCTGTCGGTTGAATCCCACTTCCTTTTATTTGAATTTGAGATTAAGGGTGGGGGTGAATGGCGCGAGCGATCAACTTCCCCAATTGCTTGATTGACGCTTGGAAGTGGAAATGTGTTCAAGAAAATGTTGCTTGGTGGTGAAGGTTGTAAACGGGGGAATGGAATCGAGTCCGTAGGTGAAGGTACAGACATTGGAGCGGATGGAAGCATGGAGGCGAGAGGAACCGGTGAGGCAATTGGTGACGTTTTCGTCGGACTCGTCGAAAGACCCGGGAACGTATTTAATGTGGTATCTGGAGGGGTTAAAGGTGTGGACCCTTGAATTGGCTGTTCCAAATCAATCAATGAAGAGATTGACATCGCTGCAGGTGTCAATGCGCCAATCGAATCGGATTTACGTGGTGAAGAAATGGAATTGGTAATGGGAGGTGGAAGTAAACGATTTGAATGAAACGGTGATGGCTGCTCTTGCATATGAAGATTACGTTGATTTTCATCATTTTGATAACAATGCTTATTTTGTTTGTCATGTGAACAACGATTCGTCACCGATTGTTTTTCGCCACTTCTTTCCGTGAAACGATTTTGGTAGGAACATTTTGAATGAGTCAAATCAGCTGGGGCAACCTCAATGGCATTCAATAGTGTTTCCAGATTATTGCCTCCAATGTATTGATATCTGTGGTCCAAAGCCTGTTCACCATAAATTTGAGGTTGCGGAGAAAAAAGATACTTTGGATTTTGGGACTTTGGGGAACCCAATGTAGCGTTATCCATTGTTTTTTAATGGTAAAAAATGTGTGTGATAAGATTGTTCGAAAAAAAAAAAAAAAAAAAAAAAGGTTTCTCTTTATTTTACTTTTTTATTTTTTTTTTTTATATATTATTTTAGGTAATTTGTTGTTTATTATTTATTTTATTTTATTTTATTTTATTTTTTTTTCCTTTCTAAAAAAAAAAAAATAAAAAAAAATAAAAAAAAAAAGGGCTTTAAAAGAATTGGGAAATTATATTTTTTTTTATGCGTTGAATGATTATTTTTTTTTTTTGTTTTGTGAAGTCAAAATCGCGTGTGAAAAAAAAATAGAAAATCAATTGCACGGGGTGGTGGTTAAATAGTAATTTTTAGTTTAGTTGGTTTTTTATTAATTTATATTGTGGAGAATAATGTGGAGAATCAATTATTATTTTTTTTTATCAGTAAAGGATCTTTTTTTTTTTTTTTTTTTCAATCTTTTGTATTTCCTTATTAAACGATTGTCAAACTTCTTAACCAGTGAATACTTTGTTTATTCAAAAAATCGGCTAAAAAAAGCAGGAAAAAAAAAGTTTTCAAAAAAAAAAAAAAATGAAAAAAAAAAATCAACAGAACACTGATAAGGGACGTTATCAGCTGTATGCTACAAACAGATAAAAAGATAAAATACCAGATATGCAAGTACAACGCTTCCCCGAGTCAGATTTGCACAATACAACAATTTTTTATATGAACCCTTCTGTAAAAACGAAAACAGAACAAAACTTGAATTGAAAAGTAACCAACATTTTAAGAACAAAAAAAAAAACCATTTTTGAAAGGAACAAAAAAAAAAGAAAAAACTATTCTTCTTTTTTTTAGTATGTTTTTAAGTAGAACATCCATCAACATAATATCTTCTCTGCATGAAATAAACATTCTTCGTGACACCCGCGAAAATCCCTGTTTTAAATAGAAGAAGGTTGTTAAAAAATTCGTATCATATTTACATTGGGATGTTATAGGATGTGCTTTTTGATGATTTGATATCTGCTTTAATAAATTGTCAAGTAAATAAATAAATATATATATATATATGTAATTTATATATATATATAACGGATTATTTTTTAATTTCATATCTGATTTCAATGTTATTGCGTGACACTTTGTGATTGCCTTTTTATTATTCAATTCAATGTCTATTTTTGAAAGTGTGGGAGAGTGGCGTGGATTTGGAATGAGGGGTTTTTTTTTGTCCTGAATTAAAAAATTGCATGTGCTTTTTTCAATAGAAAACAATCTTATTTTTTGTCCGACTGTGAATTTTTTTGATAAAAGATTAAAAAGATAATCAGCCTTTTCTTCTCATTATGTGATGATGGGACTTTCATGTCTTTCAACTTGTCTTATGATCTTTTCTTATCTTACCGATATGAAAATAAATAAACTGATAATTTTAATTAATGATGTTCCAAATTTTTTTTTTTTATTATAAATAGATCATCATTACACTAAAATAATCGGTCAAAAACAACAAAATGAAATTATCTTCGAATGGAATAATCCGTCGACAAAAAAAAAACTCGAATGTCATCATAATGCATTCGTAATTTTTTTCGTGGGATACAAATTTATAATATGGCCATTTTCAGTTGTATCAATGAGCATTTTCACTCGGATCGTCCAACGTTTATGTCAGTGTCAAGTTTGGCCAGAGTTATGTAGATCACCCTTCAAATCATCACCAAGAAATCAAAAAGTTACGAGGTTGAAATCTAGATCGTCGTTGATGATTACAAATAATTAATCGAACATTTTCTCGCGGTTATATAATGGGAGAAACTAGATAAACCTTATCAGTGACGGTCATTATTTAAACCTCAAGTTTATCGAAACGTAAATACAGTGTGACAAGATATCATATATTTAATTAAGATGATAAAGAATCACTCATCAGGAAGGGCCTTATCTATTATCGACATCAGGTAATTGGCCAGATTCTCATCTCGATGGTTCCACGAAATATTAAGAGAGTTGGTATTGTCGTCCGATACGCTTATTAACATGCTTCTTATCTTTATCTGTGATGGTATCTTTGTTATTTCCGTACATGACATTTTGCCTCTAAGAGCTTTCGTTACTGCTTCATAGACGATTTCCAAAGCTCGAACGCGAACGTCAACGTGAGGTGACGCGTCAAGATTTTTTTGCACCTTGCTGGGATCAAAAGTCTTAATAAATTCAAACGTTAACTCTCGTAATGGTAGGTTTGCATCGCGCATCGCTTCATCGGCATCCATTAATCTCGGTATTCGATCCGGTTCCATTGACAAAACACCTTGTATGGGAATCTCATTCACGGGCTTGATACGCGTAATGTCAATTCTCTCATCCGAGGTGGGGAAAGGAAGCTTTTGTGCGGCATGGTGACGTTTGAGCAAATCAACCGAAACATCAACGGGTATGGAAAGGGGTGTATTGATAATTAAAGTTTCTCCGTTGGCCGGTGAAAAACATGGAATCTTACACTCACGCTTAATCTTCTCTTGCAGAAATTCCATCTTTGCCTTCTCCCCGTGAACCAACATTACATTTCTTGGGTCGCACTGCTTTATAAGTTGTAAAATTCCCTTGGCGTCAGCATGCGCGCTGAAAGACAAATTTTTCACTTGTATATTTACAGTGATCTTATTGTAAGCATCTATATAAATCTCCTTATCCCCGTTGAGAACTTTGGCTCCTACAGTACCAGCCACACAATATCCGGGCATGATGACCATATTCTCCGGATGTGGTGCCCACTTCTTAAAGACTTCCAAGGATGTGCCGATGTGTAACATACCAGGGGTGGCGAATAAAACCGCGGGACCCGGTAAATCCATATATTGTCGATCCCAGGGTTTGATATGCTTAAAGTCGAACATATTTCGTTGAACAAAAGTATTTTTAATCTTCTCATTCGTCCAATTAATAAAAAGTTTATAATAATCGTTGGCTTTCTCGGTCATACCGGCCGAGAAGTAAACGGGTACATTAAGATTATTCCTCTCCCAATACGTTTCAATTAAGATACATAGCTCTTGGGCACGTCCAAGAGCAAAAACTGGTATGAGAACCTTCCCTCCTTGTGAGACGCAATCATGAACTTTCTTTAGAAAGTCACGTTCACGTGTTCTTTTGGAATCGCGTATAGTGGTGGCATAAGTTGATTCGGTTATTAACAGGTTCGGACGTACTTTATCTATCCACGCCGCGCCCAAGTGTCGATCAGGAGTCATGTTGTAATCTCCCGTGTAAACTACCGATTGTGAACCCACGCGTACATAAAACATGGCCGCGCCCAAAACGTGACCAGCATAAAATGCTTTGATTTCTAAATCATCATCACCATTAACTTTAATCGTCTGATGAAGGTTTACCGCGGTGACCTTCTTCATACAATTTTTAATCATTTGAGACGTGAAGAAATTCGTTTCCCCCTTTCTTTCGACGGTAATCTTTCGATAATCCTCAAGTAATATAGGACAAATGGCTTTGGTAGGATGTGTCATATAGATAGGTCCTTCGTACCCACACATTTCAGTGAAATATGGCAAGGCACCTAAAGTGAGAAACGATCAATAAAAACTAAAGAGTATCGAGCATGAAAAGATTAATTGTAAATTTGAACACTTACCACAATGATCCAAGTGAAAATGACTTACTATGATACAATCCAATTGCTCGGTGAATCGATTCGTTTTGGAAATATATGAAAAATCCGGAAATCTTCTATCATCATTATAACCCATATGCATTCCACAATCAAACATTATATTTTTAGTTCCCGTACTATCATCACCCATAGATATAAGAATACAACTACGTCCGACATCTTGACCTGCACCGAGTGGTATCACTTTTATCATGATATACAATATATGTTTATATTTATATATTTTATTTATATTAATATTTACAGGCTCCAAAGAAGTTAGATTGACTGGAAAAGAAAAAAACTACTTGCGTTATTGTCGTACGTAAGACGTAAGCGTGTAGATTTTCTTTTATCGTATCACATGGTTACACATATCGAAAATATAAAAACCAGTTCACCAGACTTTTTTTATTTGTTCACACATTTCTTATCATGTTTTTGACAAGGTCTGAGTACGATCGCGGTGTAAACACTTTCTCACCTGAAGGACGGTTATTTCAGGTCGAATATGCCATTGAGGCCATAAAGGTACTCTCATTCATGTCTGATAATTTGATTGCTTTTATCAATTTTTTTATTTTTATTTATTTATTTTTTTTAACTTGACCAATATTTATTTTTTAAATAGTTGGGTTCCACCGCGGTGGGCATTCAAACTTCTCAGGGTATCATCCTAGCCGTCGAAAAACGCATCACTTCTCCATTATTGGTAGCAAGTAGCATTGAAAAGATTATCGAGATTGATTCACATTTAGGGTGTGCTATGAGTGGGTTGACCGCCGATGCCCGAACAATGATCGATCACGCCAGAGTCGCAGCGCAAGTTTGTATTTAAAGGATCATTGTTTTCAAAAATTTCAATCGAGATTCAATTAATATTTTTATTTTTTTTTTTGTTGCAAATTTGTAAAAAGAATCATCATTTTACTTATAACGAAAAAATCAAAGTCGAGTCCGTAACACAAGCTGTATGCGATTTGGCTCTGAGGTTCGGGGAGAGCGCTCATGGTGAAGAATCAATTATGGTTTGTCTTTTTTTTTTAGTTTTTTTTTTCGTTAAAAAAAACTAATAATAATTCTAATAAAAAAAATTAATTACGTATTTGTTGAATAAAGAGTCGACCTTTTGGTGTAGCCTTGTTGATTGGCGGTGTCGATGAGAAGGGACCTCAGTTGTAAGTATAAATCAAGAAAAAACTTTGCATTATTCTTTGATGCATTATGTATTGATTCTATTCGAAATATGTAAAAGATATCACGCAGATCCATCTGGAACTTTCATGCAATATGACGCGAAAGCAATCGGGTCCGGATCTGAAGGTGCACAGACTGAGCTACAAGAAGAATACCACAAAGTAAAAATCTTTAATATTAAATGTTCCTTTAAATCATAATATTAGTAATCATAACATTATTATTATAATTATTTTTCAGTCTCTTACTCTGGTGGAAGCTGAAACTTTGTCATTAAAAGTTTTGAAACAGGTAATGGAAGAAAAACTGAACAAAACCAATATTGAATTGGCATCTATCACATCAGAACATGGATTTAGAATTTATAGTGAGGATGAATTACAAGCTGTGATAGATAGATTATAATTAATATGCTCTTGACCATATTAAAATTTGGAATCGTAAATGTAAATTACCAAAAATATAAAAAAATAAATTACAATTATTATTTTATTTTTTATTTTATTTTTTTTTCTTTTGAAAGAACGAGCATTACTATTAAATATTATCTATTTGATTGACTTTTATAATTACAATTTGTTGTTTCCTAATGGATTGGAAGATAGGCAAAATACCGAAATTTAGAGCGCATATATTATATCGGATAATAACAATTTGAGCTCAAGCCATAAGATCCTTTCCTTGAGTAATAATAGGTATTAAGTCGAATTAATTATTATTATTTTTTTTTTTTAGAGACAAAATTAAAATATTTTTTTATACACCTGAGTTTAATAAATAATCTTCCTCTTCGATTACAGTAGCCATTTCATTATTTTCCAATGAATTTCCATTTTTGCTAGGTTGCAATAGATTATCTAATAAAAATTTAAGGTCCAACCCAACTTCGCGTAACTAATATATATATATATAAACGTAAGTTTCAAATAGAATTCATACTAGGAAGGAAGGATATTTAAATACTTTACCATTAAACAGTGTTCTCTAGTATACCTCAAACATTCTTGTACAATCCTGTCATCACGATTATGCAAACTATATACTTGTCGTCTAAACATATTTGCATAATGTCCCATTTCCTCTTGTACCCACTTTACAAGACCTATTCAAAAACAAAGGTTAGCTATATATATATATATTAGATTCAACCTTTTAATCTAAGGAAAATAGTTACCCGAAGCCATCCTCATGTCTCTAAACGAAGCATTATACCAGTCACACGTGTTTTTAATTAATGTAAAATATACTAGAGATAATTCATTAATATATTGTGGTATATCACCCTCAAATTTTAATTGTCTAGAAAATCAAATCATTTACTTGAATACTGCATTTATAATTCAAATTTCTCGGCGGAAAAAAAAAAACTGAAGCTTACTTTGTTCTTATCCGAATATTTTCAGTTCTCGCAACAAGGAACAATTCTCGTGCCTAGATCATACTTTGATGTTAAAATAACTAAATCGAATGATAAAATTTTAGTTTGTTATAATGGTATGCTACCTGTTCTCCGTATCCAAGATGAAATAACCATCGTACACATTTCTGTACGTGCGATTTTTTCACGTCAGGATTTGTGAGATCACGACTAATAGCAAGAGACAATCGAACAACGCGATCCTCCATTTTCGTACGAATCGCATCCAATTTTGTAGAATTTGAAGTTGATACGTTAGTGAGAGAACTCTTTGCTATAATTCATAATATGAAATAAAATTTTGATTAACAATTGTTCTATACGTTTAGAATGAACATTCCTTGTGAAGAATAACCAATACCTTTTTCAATATTCTCGACAGCTTCCTCAAATTCTCGCGTTGCAATATGAACATCCAACTCATCTGCCAAATCTTCAATTTCGCGAATATTATCCATTGTAAGTTCTCTAGGAGTTTTTACTGGCAAAGGAACAGATTGCCTTAAGGCTCTTAATGATGGTGGTGGGCCCTTATTCTTTCTTGAAAGAGTTCTTATGAGTGGAGTATGTTGTTGCTGTTGTGATTTCTATCATAATGTGATTAGAATTGTATTATTAAACATTTTTTTTTTTCCATCATTATTCTTGTTTTGATAAGATTTAATGAGCGCTTACTGCGGCCATCACAGAATCTAATAAATGATTTCACATGTTAGAACTTGGGTAATTGTAATATATTAGAAATACTTTCAAGCATACCAGCATGTTTTGCGGCTTTGGCTGACATCATGTCGTCAGTTGCACGTTTGGTCATGTTTAATAAATTTTTTTTCTCTTCAGCATTTCCAGATTGGAAAATAAACTGATCCGTGGGATGCTTCAAGATTTTAATGAAATTCACTTGTTCTAATCGACAGGAATAAATTTTTTAGGTTGACACTCAAACGGATGCATCATTAATCGTAATAATCCAACATTGTACAAAACCTTCAGTATCTTTCACGTCCATCAGGGTTATATCCTCCAAAGAAAAACAACGATCGGCAACTAATTTTGCTTTTGAAGTATCTTTGGACGCTTGACGTTTCTTTTTACTAGCAACCAATAAACAATCGTTTAATAAAAAGATATGCACAGATTGTTTTGGCTTATTTGTACTAAAACTAATTTCTACAAAATTAGAACACTCGCGAAGTATGTGTCTTCCAGGTTCCAACGACACAAAGTTCTGGGAAAAAAATAAAAATGAAAACTATCAGCTATTTTTTTTTTTAAAAAAAAAAGAAAAAAGTTAAATTAAAGAGAGATGATAACCTGAGCACCTTCCACACCCGCCCATAATTGTTGAATTTGTGCTTTCCAAATTGATTGCATATCAGTAGCATTATTTAAAGTTGGGTTGCGCCTTCTTGGTCCAATTGGCTCTGAAGTTACTGAAGTCACTATAAATTGAATAGTATAATGTAAATTACCATCAGTATAATATATTATAGATTGTTTAATAATCAACATACCGGGCCCAATGTTAACGGAATCAGTACTATCATCTCTTAAATTGTCACTGACATTGCGCAACTCATTCAAGAGTCCTCGCAATACAAGCATATCACTTTCTAACTGTAAAATATGATCCATCTAGGTCAAGAATAAACATATTAAAGCCTTTGAACTTTATCAATGATCTGATGCATTATTTAAAGAAAGGATATTTGATATCTCTTGGGATATTGTCATGAATTCATTATAGTTCTTATACACATTTCTTTGCAAATCGCTAGCCGCTAAATCTTTTGATTCTTGCAATGTGTCCAAAAAAGCTCTCACCCCTTCTTCAGTGGCAGTAGATAGTGCCTTTTGGATATCTGACCATGATTTTTATTTAAAGATAAATATATATAACGAATTTCGATCAAATTCAATAAATCTGTTTTCATTTTAAAAAACCTTATCAACGTACATGTTTCAGGTCTAAAATCATCGCCTGCAAATTCTACTATATCAATGGCAGGTGGTTCCTTTATATCCTCATCAGGTGTGTAAGGTCTACCAGGACTAAGATTGTTATTGTTCCATTTCCCTTCAGCTTTTAAAACACTGCGACTCATTTTTTTCGAAATAAAACCGGGTGAAGACGGGGAGATACTTTTTTCGATCCCATTTATTGCATTAGCTATGCGAATATTGATGCCGCGAGGTTTGCTACTTGAAATTTGACTATTCAGACTATTCATGGTTGTTGGATCAGTTTGTGGTTAAATAATAGGAATGACTTTGACAAGAAGCAAAAAGTTACTCGGCATGAAATTTGAAAAACTTGACCGCCAAAAAAAAAAATGCGTTTTTTGTTCGACTCGCACAACCGACAAATTAATCATTTATAGACCCCCTGTAACGTTATTCTTGTGACAAAACACTAATGACATATAGTTGTGGTCACGTGAGGTGGGAAATTTTGATGTTACTGGGGAAGATAGAATATTCCGATATCTCTGAATTGATTGGCAGAATGTTTATATAAAAAAGCTCGCCTTGATCAACATGCGCCATAGTTGATTGTCTTGTTCAATATGAAAGTTTATTCAATTTCAATTTACTCCAAAGATTCTCGTAATGAAGTTATTAGGTTGACTGCAGAGTACGATCTCTCAAGTTTTGGTTTCTTTCAGCGCAGCACTGTTCAGGATATTATTATGGTAATTTCCAAAGCAATTGCAGCGGGAACGAAACCCGGTCAAAGACAACGCGTTGAAGAACAACGTATGAACTCTTTTACGTCTAAATACTTTTAAACATTACGTATTTCGGATATTAATGGATCAATTATATTTATAGCCTATGTAGGTTATGTTTACTCTCGTTCCGACATTCCTCTTACAGGAGTCATGATTACAGATGAAGAATATCCACAACGTGTATCATTCTCTGTATTGAACAAGATTCTTGACGAATTCCTCATAAAATTTCCTCATAATGATTTTTCTAAAGTTGGCACAATCTCTTACCCAGAATTGAAAACTTATATAGTTAAATATCAAGATCCCAAGCAAGCAGATCAGATTGTAAAAGTACAAGAACAATTGGATGAAACAAAACAAGTCATGGTAAAATCAATGATTTCTTTAATTGAACCTTTTTGAAATCAAGACTTTTTTTTTGTAATTATTTTTTTGTTAATTATTAGAATCGAACAATTGAATCCCTTTTACAACGTGGGGAAAAGTTGGACGATTTAATAGATAGGTCACAAGATATTTCTTTTCAATCTAAAGCATTTTATAAACAAGCTAGAAAGGTTAGTATTGTCATTTGGAATATTATAACAAAATCATTTTCTAATATATTTTATTTTTTCATTATAAAAGACAAATAGTTGCTGTACTATTTCATGATACTTAGACGTATATTATGGTTCAAAATACCACAAAACTCCTTTTTTTTTTTTTTACATCTTTTTTAGTCATGAATTTTAATGTACTAATTTTCGGTTAAAAAAATATAATTCCAACCTTAAATATTTCAATTTTTTTTTTACGGAATGATATTATAACAATCCAATTAAATTCAAAATAAAAACGATTATTTATTTATACTTATTTCTCGAAGTTTATAGAAAATAATGCAAATTTATACAAGTACAAAGGATAATGATGATAATAAAAAAAGAAAAAAAAAAAGTAAAATAAATCATTGGATAAATATTTAATGCCTTTTTTTTTTTTTTTTTTTTTTTTTTTTGAGAAAATGGTGATAATGTACTAATATACATAATTATAATTACAAAACCCCCAAAGGGTCATCAACTGGCAAAACAGGTGTATTGGTTGTAAAGATATGACTACTCGATCTTTTTTCATTGCTTGATGAAGCTGATCCAATACTTTCACTTCTTTCTCGACTCATGTTTTTTTGTGCGAAAGGAGACGCTCCTAACGGATCAATCCTTTCGGAATAAAGTGAAGATACAATCGATGAATTCCTTGTCTTTCTT